AGAGACAGAGCATGAACGGGGGAGGGGCAGAGAGAGAGGGAGACACAGAATCGGAAACAGGCTCCAGGTTCTGAGCCATCAGCCCAGAGCCTGACGCGGGTCTCGAACTCACGGACCGCGAGATCGTGACCTGGCTGAAGTCGGACGCCCAACCGACTGCGCCACCCAGGCGCCCCAGCTTGGTGTTATTTTCAAAAATGAATGAAGCAGTATGAAGTTACACTTGATATGTAGATTTTAATGATAACAGAAAGTGGATTTTAGGCTTCAAATGTTCAGACTAATAATAGCACACCTTTTGAAAACAATTCTATAGTATCCTATAGAATCTTCCTCATGTGTTTAAAAGGTTTATATAATATACAATCTTCATTTTAAAATTTTGGACTTTATACACACATATCCAGTCATATGTATTTCTACTGCTGCCACAATAATTCCCTAATCATTTTGTCTTATGAAGCAAAGTTTAGGTAAGTTAAGGAGCACTTTCTAAATATTCTTTTGGTTTTGTGCCCTCTTAATACGTTCTTACAATTCTGACTCTGATCACATATCAGTCCAGTATAAAAGTGGTTTCAAACCTTGGTCTCCCTGGATAAGTCTCTACTCAAATCCTGGTTCATTGCTATAACATTCCTAATTTAGCTCATTCATCTCTATGTCCTCATTCATTTTTACTTGACTTTCCTTGGAAGAGAGGAGAGGAGGCAAGATAAAAGAGATGCATTTTCTATTTTCTGTCTCTTAACTCACATTTTTATACTTTGTACTATGCTTGAATTTCTCAATTTATGGGAGCATTTATGGTGAGTCCTAGATATCTGCTCTGTAAAGTAATTCAATGTCATGTAGACAACATGCACTATGGGAGAAAGGGGCAAGGTTGATGTAGGGTAGTTGGTGGGGTGAGACCTGAGCTCTGTTCCTTGAAAGGAGAATAGGAAGTGTTTGTTAAGACTGAGGTACAGAATGAGAGGGAGAGAGATTGGGCATATGTATGGCATGTCTGAGAGAATCAACTGGTATGGAGTAGAGGATCTACTAAGAGCCGAGTCTGAAAAGCCACCATGATTTCCATCAGTCCGTAGGAGAGTAAAACTTGCCACTCACAATGAAATACATCTTTCAAATGAACAAATAAATGGAAGCTGACTATTTGGTTTTGCTAGAGGTAGAGAGAAAGCTATGACGGTAAAAGCAAATCTCAAATGTTAATCACCTGTGGCATAGTAGTTACCTTAGAATACTATTGAAATGTTTTTGCCTCTGACATTCTCCACAAGCCTGTCTCCTTTTATGTGCATGCATGCAAGTATATAAATTGCTGAATCCATGTCAGTTGTAAAGTAATGGCACTGAGGGCATCATAAATTACCATGGTGATCCTCAGGAGAAGACACTGTCGTATCTGAATGAGTGTTTCACTTCCAGAGTAATGTATGCCTTCATCTGGCCCAGCAGTCAGCATATTGCCCTGTGTTGATGGATATTGTCAGCTGGAAGCTACACTACATTTCACTGCACAATAAACATGGCTGTCAAACCCATATAAAGTGAAATCAATTTATCCTGTATGGTCAGTGCATTTTAAATGAAATTAATGTACTGTGGGTATGGTGGCAAAAAGGTAGCAGATTAGTTATGCATCTTGGGATCCGAGACGTTTCATGTAAGGGATCATTCTGTCTAGTAGGCCTAAAAGAAGGGCTGTTTACAAAATATATTATTTTTGCATGGTCTTCGCAAAGTGGCCCCTCTGCCCTCTTTCATGTTTAGAAAAGAATTGATAATATTAGCCAGTCGGGGCCCCTTTATCCTGTCTTTTGTTTGCTATAAATGATGATCATATTTGTCAAATAATAGTGCACTTTAATGTTCTAATTTATTACTAGCTCTGACACAAACAAATTTCTACTTAATCAAGGTATCTAGAAATAGAGTAGAAGGGCCAGAGATTGATTGGGTTATGTTGTTCCTGTATAATCACTCCACTGAGCTGAAAGGCTTTACTTTTTCCAGAAAGTGGAAATGTTGGTTTTAATGTGTATTTTGCTTCTAAACTTTTGGGAGTTGGCTTTCCTGTTTATGCAGCAGAAAACCTGGCTGAGGCCATCAGTCGAACCACTTTACGTTTAACTATAGAAGTTTTCAATCTATAGGGGGATATGTCGTAGATGCCACATTGCGAAGCGTGTATCAGTATGTGACACTAGCAGCGTTCTTGAAAACAAGCAAGAGCTGTGTCCATTCATTTATTCACTCATTTACTCATTCACTAATTTAACATATTTTACTAATTCAATCTCTATATACCAAGTGCTTCACCAGAGCCTAGGGAGACAGCAGTTGAAGGAGAGCCAGTTCCTGCCTTATTGTCAAGGAACTTTCAATCTAGCATGTTACTAGCTAGAGTCATCTCTTCAGAAACTATAAAATATCAGAGGTTCAGATAGAGTTTCATAAGGGAATGTTAAAGGACTACCCTTAAACAGCAGACAACTGTATCAGGACCCTTGAAATAAATGCCTTTGAGTCTACTAGTTTGCATATAAGTTGAAAACCAATCTTTTACTTAATAAATATTTATTGAATATCTACAACGTGGGAAATCCTGGGGATACAAGAATGAGTAAAACAGAAACACCAACTTTAGGGGTTTCATATTCCTTTGGATGGAGTGGAAAGATTAGAGAGAGATAGTCACATAAACAAGTAATTTCATGTAGCATAAAAGAAAAAGGAACGAACGCAGCCTGGGGAACGTCATTGTGAATGCTGTTCCAATGGCTTGAATTACCCTTCCCGTCTGCCTCCCCCTATTCACGCGATAATTTTTATTCATCCTCCACAAGAGAGCTTACCCATCACCTTTCCTAAGAGGCATTTGCTGACTGTCTTGTCTGATGCCCTTCTGGTACCCTGTATACTGCAGTATTACAGCATTTATCACACACTATTATAACTGCCTGGGGCCCGTATCCCCTCTGACCTGTGCGCTCCTTAAACGCAGGGATTGTTTTTATTTACCTTTGCATCCCTAACTGCTGCCATAATGCCTAACTCATAGTAATTGCTCAATTAATATTTTCTATTGAATTTACTAATTCATGAAGCACACCACACGTGACTGGGTCTTGAAGGATGAGTGGGACTTAGTGGGACCTAGTGAAGGGGTAGCAGGGGCTTCCAGGCAGCGAGAGGAGTGCCGGAGAGGGCATAATATTGTGAAAGAGAATTCTATTTGAGGTAAAGAGATAGTTTGAAGTGGCTGCGGTTTTTGGCAAATGAGGCTAAAATGATAGGCGAGAGCCTGCTTTTGAAGGGAAGACTCGCATCAGGAAAGGTTACCATAAAATAATGCCAGTCATTGCACAATCACCACCTGCAAGTGCCTGTAGTAAAAATGTACTAGGTGCATAAAACATACAAAATTAATTCTGCCCAGTGTGTCTTTGAGGCCTCCATCAGAAGGGCCTATAGAATTGTCATTTGAAACTGTTTCTTCCAAGAGGTCACTTAAAACGAAGAGAAGGGCGTAGGGAAAACAGCTGAACCAGGCGGCAAGCTGTGTTACGTTACTCAGATAATAATGTTTGCACCCATCTTGTTCTTCCTGCCCTGACATTACAGGAAGTAAAGCAATGAATGGCTCTGCAGCTAAACTACAGCAGTATTATTGTTGGCCAACAGGAGGCGCCACTGTGGCTGAAGCACGAGTCTACAGGGATGCCCGCAGCCGGGCCAGCAGCGAGCCACACATCAAGCGACCAATGAATGCTTTCATGGTTTGGGCGAAGGATGAGAGGAGGAAAATCCTTCAGGCCTTCCCCGACATGCATAACTCCAACATTAGCAAAATTTTAGGTGAGTGCAGTCGCTGATGCTGACCTCCTACCCTGCGAGTGCCCCCCAGAGTGGAAAACAGGGGCATAACTTGACACCTAAGGGAGACCGTGGTTTGCAGAGGTTAGATGTAGCTCAGCAAGCTGCCACAAGAGACTTCGTCACCATCTCTGTGTCCCCCACCCTTCAGTGTGGCATTTAGGTTTAGGGGTTATATATCCACGAGGTGCCAGGGAAGGACTGACTAAAAAACTTATTTTAGAGACAAAACTATTTATAGTGTGTTAATACTGTGAATTTGGCAACTGTGAAAGGTACTGCTAAACCGGATTCGTGGAGACAAGCCTTATCTCCTTTTCTTATTCAGTCTTCTTAAATCCCTAAGTTGCTCCGAAACCTTGGAAACGTTCACAGATCCTACAGTTTTCTGCTTTACTGTTCTTGGGTTCATATATCCTTCGGAAAGGACTCGTCAGGAACTAGGGTAGCCCCAAAATAGTGTGAAATTCATGGAGTGTTGAACAGTGCCTCTAATGATAACTTTAAAACTTGTAAAATGAAACTACATTTACTTTAATAAGATATGACGAGTTCAAATTTCATAGCAGTGAGTTGAACACATAGACCACAGGGCAGAGGCCCGTTTTGTGGTAAATTGCCAGAGTGATTCTCCCGTTTCTCAGGATTAAACTCAAACCTCGTTCTATTAGTGTAAAGCTTGCTAGTGCAGATTATACAGTTTGGAATTATTGTGTTCAACATATTGAACATATTTTATTCAACATGTAGCATTACAGTCAACATGTTTCCTCTTTAAAAAGAAAAAACACAGAAGGCACTGTTCTATTTAAGCTGTCATGATGTGACAAAATCTCAAAGGGAGCCGTTTAAGAAGCTGAAAAACATTACAGACTTAAACTGTGGTTTTCATTTTTTAAATGTTTTGTTCAAAAGCAATAAATATTTAACCTTAGTAAATATCAGTGATCTGGACATACACAAATACACGTTTTGTCACTGTATAAATAGTTTAACTTGATTCTGAGACATTGTGAGGCAGTAACCTCTAAGAAAATTTAAAACACACATAAGATCAAATAGTGGTGAAATGTTAAAAAGTAAGTTTTTCCCTTTTATTCCTTGAGATATTTGAATTTCAAGATGGATGCCAAATGTCACTACAATGAGGTAGGGTTTTATTTTTAGAGTTTCTGAGATATACACAGGGATAGTATTATTCTTTTGAATTTAAGTACCTTTGAAACCAAAAGGTTCCTGATGGACATGTTAATTTTGTTTTTCTAATTAATAGACATTTAAAAGAAAATCAGTTTCTCTGTCCTGGAATTTGAGACCTAATTTTGAAATTTTCTTTTCTTCTTCTCCTCCTCCTCCTCCTCCTCCTCCTCCTCCTCCTCCTTCTTCTTCTTCTTCTTCTTCTTCTTCTTCTTCTTCTTCTTTTTCTTCTTCTTTTGCCATTTTAGTAGCAGCATGAGTAAGCTCTCAGATGGGCATAGAAACTCTCTGTTTCCATCTTGGCAGCTGTAGGGAATCTATATTCTTGGTGTGCATCCTGTGAAAAAAAATTATTAAGAATATAGTAAGTGTATTCATTAAAATGTAAACTTTGAAGCACAAGCATTTCAAGAGTGCCAAGAATCCTCTGTTAACTGGGGCTTTAAGCTACTGGGAGTCAGCAGAACACGGAGAAGTCTGTCTGTGTAGACTTTCTACACAACTTTTGCACAACAATCAGGAAAGAACAGGGATGGATGTGCTATTAAAGCAGACCAGGATACTGCTGGCTATAGAGAAGATTTGTACGACTTTCCATTTGTTTATGTATGAAAAATCTCCACTGAAGATTAGCTAACATCCAGTCAGCACAGCTGTTACCGCTTTATTCACCAGCGACACACAAAAATGCAATTTGATACATGTAAAAAAACACATCCCTTCTTCGTCAAGTGTTTAGGTAATTCTTTATAAACAATATTAGAGAAGTGAATACTTTTCCTTCTTCCTCTATAAACCACATTAAAAATTTTTGTGCTGTCATTGGTACAGCTCTGAATGAACATTTGTAGTACTTGAAAATGGTATATATCATTCCAACTGTACCTTCCGGTTCGAAAGCTAGAACTTAAGTAGAGTTTAGGCTTTTTAATTACCCTAGGCCAGGGGAGACAGTGCGCACAGTGGGTTTTTATATATGGAAGGATACCAACATCCGCCGACACCTTCTCAGTAAGTAGCTTCCCTAAAGATGCCTGGACAAGTTGACAGACGTTTGAATCTCTGAAAGCGGGAGAGCTTTTTCTGAGAATCCTGTCAGCCTTGAGAGTATGCTTTGGAAGTTTCAGTTTTTCACCCTTTGAGAGAGATAGACGACCAGTAGATGGGGGAAGGACATTGGTGTAGGAGGCGATCTTTAAGCAGCAGAGACATGTTTTAAAATAATATACTTTTTGTAGCACCAGCTTTAAGTCACTGAAAGAAGTAATGTAATAAATGTTGCCATATACAAAATTATTCTTTGCTCTATGGTCTATACAAGACTGCTGGGGAGGCTCAGTGGGATGCGGTGGTAGCAGCTACCCAGAGCCAGAGGTGAGTAAAGCGGTGGGAAGGTATACCCAGTAGTTTCCATGAATATGTTGCCTTGACCACTTGGGTACTTAACGGCTGTTTTTGTTTAGGGTCTCGCTGGAAATCCATGTCCAACCAAGAGAAGCAACCTTACTATGAAGAGCAGGCCCGGCTAAGCAAGATCCACTTAGAGAAGTACCCGAACTATAAATACAAACCTCGACCGAAACGCACCTGCATTGTTGATGGCAAAAAGCTCCGGATCGGGGAATATAAGCAACTGATGAGGTCTCGGAGACAGGAGATGAGGCAGTTCTTTACCGTGGGGTGAGTGTCCCTGAATGTGGCCACCTGGGCTTTCCCCTCCCACTGGGAAACCACAGGATGGCTACTGACCGTGTGTTTGGGAAGGAGATTGGGGAAGGAAGGAGATCAAGACCTATCCAGGGACTAGGCTGTGGTGATCTCTGCAGTGTCTCTCTCTCTCTCTCTCTCTCTCTCTCTCTCTCTCACACACACACACACACACACACACACACACACACACACACACTTGCACGTGCGCAGGGTCTTGCAGCCTGGCTCCTGCTCAACAGCTCAAAACAAACCTGGTCGCCCCTCTCCTTGTCTCGCAAACTAATCTTAGATGTTCAGTGCCCACACACAATGTTTCTGGTAGTTTATTTAAGCAGACATATGGGGAGAAAAAATAAAAACCAACCTTAAGAAATCCCCAGAAGCTTTCCAGCTTCTCTGGGTGGTGCTTCTGACTCTAATCACAATAGTCTGCTTTTGTTGTGGGATCTACCACAAGATAATTGGCCTTGACATTGGTTAGAGGACCTCATTTTTGGCATAAGATCCAGAACTCCTGTTGCAGTAAATTATTCTGTGGTGGAAGCAATAACAATGTGGATTTTCTTGCTTAAATCAGAAACTAGACATGTTTTTGATATCTTCAAGTCTGATTTCATGTCATTTTGTTTAAAAATTAGGTAATAGATTTCTGGTATAAATTTCGAGTTGGCTGACTGGCTGTCTGCATTTAAAAGAGGCCCTTTGTAACCACAGCCATGGGGATAAGCGGGGATGCAGACGCCTGTAGGTTCCAGCACACCCAGACCTAGAGGCACAGGGGTGATAAACCAGAGGACCTTGCTGGAGGCACTGGCCTGAGGCGGCTGCAATCAGCTTGGGAAGATACTTGGGACAGGGCTTGAGAGAGAGAAATGGAGTTAGAGTTAGCTGGGCTCACTGTTAGCTGGAAGGAGCCATGAGGAGCTATGCCACACGCCAGGGCACATGGGACAGCCTCATCTGGAGTTGAGAGATGTGCCTCAGAGGAAAAGTAAAGACCTGCTTAGTTTTAAAGACACTTAAAACAACAACCTCATGGAACAAAAAGTTGGTTTCAGAAGCATGTATTTAAAGCATAAAATTAATCTGGAATAGTAAATAGAATACAAAAAAAAAAAAAAAAAAAAAAAAAAAAAACAAAACACGCCAATGAAAGCAGTCTGGGCCATGAATCTGTGCCATACATGAGAGTGCTCTAGAGAGGAGCACTGGAGTTTGACCACCGAGGTTCAAACGCTGGGCCACCTGCCCGAGGAAGTTATTGAACTTCTCTGAGCCTCTGTTTCCTCATGTGTGAAATGAAATGAATAGTGGTACTGATGTCATACAATTGTTGAGAGGATTCAATGAGGCAGTGTTTTTGAAAGTACTTTTATGGTGCTTGGTACAATATCAGTAAAGGTGATATTTTACCACTATCATCACTATTAAATACAGATTTACTATCACAATAAAACTATATTTTATTTCATACCATATAGTCAATGAACTTCTTTACTCTGTGGCAGAACTTTTGCAAGGTAAGGGAGGCTTAAGCCACTTTGTTATTTGAGAATCTCAACCTCTTAACAAATGATGATATATGCCAAAGTAGGTTTATTAAATTCTTCTGTATGGTAAATGTTTGTGTTTTTAAAAATAATACTTTTAACATCAGTAATACAATGCAATATAAGTAGGCTATTTACTGGCTATTTAGACGATTTATAAAAAATACCAATCCATAGTGCACTTTGGGAAGTAGGGTCACATGAAACAAAATACAAATTTATTTTAACTCTGTGATAAATGTCTCCTTTTAATCCTGTCTCTGAGACCATATGCAATCTCTTGAGCAGAGAATCAAAAGTTTAAGTTTGAGAACCTTTGCGATCCCCTCTGTTTGTTCCAGTCATGTCCCTATGTATCGAGCGATACGTAATGGGTGTCTCTTGCCATAGTCTGGAAGGCTGTCAAAGGTACCATTTTAGGTCCCTGATAATTATTTGAAAATATGAGCTGTAGCAACTCTATTTAATTTATTTCCCCTTACCAAAGGGTACATTGAAGTGGCTCTGGATCAAAATAATTCAACACACAGCAATGCATGTAAAAAAAAAAAACAAAAAAAAAAACTAAAACAACTCAACAGCATCTGCCGTTTATTGAAGATCTACTGCACACTAGACACTTTAGGTATATAAATCACATAGTCCTCTAAATAAGGTAAAGAAAAGGTTCTGTGGCTACCAAAAGGTCAGATAGAGCAAGGGTTTAAATCTAGGTCTCTGCCTCCATCATGCCTAATGACTGAGGGATTGTCCTCAAAATACGTTTTTATTTTGTGCCCTATTCTGACACAGTTATGAGTTTGGCTGTGCTATTTGAAAAAAGAGTGCCTACAACCTTTGGTTGTGGTGTATGATGGCATTAAAGGAGCTCTGAAATTTAGAGACTAAGGATTCTGTTTCCAGTAGTGCAGTGGGTCCTTTATGGAAGGACCCTTTAAGACTATAGAATGGAGCTACGGATGTGCAGGCAGTGACCAGAATGTCTTATTCTTTAATTTTCAGTGCTGAGTATTTTCCTCTGCCCAGCTTTGGTAATACTTGCAATGTGAAGCCAGGTATTATTTCTACTTAAGGATTCATATTCTCTTTTAAGTAGTTGTATTTGATAGATTATTAACTCCCTGGGGTTCATCTTTGGAAATTCGTCTTCATTAGATGTGAGGTTATTACAAGAGGGAAAAGAAACAAGAAATTCAAAGATTGCTATTGACTTCTTGAGAGAATGGGGGTAAGATCAATTTTTATAGCTGATTTTGAAAAGACATGCATAACTTTTGAGCCAACAAAATTACGTGTATTGCTCAACATTGTCATGCATTTTATTGACAATACAACTAAAAATTCAGTGAGTTAGATTTTTTTTTTTTACTCAGCTATTATGAAATAAATTTATCAATAATATGAAGTGGAGTAAGGTTAGCTCTTGCCTTAGATTTAACCCCTTCGATTGACAGGTTAAGTATTAGAACTTTTAATCATTTTGATGAGCACTATTAATGTTGAAATGATATTAATTAGGGTACATGTAGCTACAACATTGTCTTTTCCCAAAGAATTATGGCCAGATGCATTTCCATTTATTTGAAGTTTATTCAATAATTTACCTGTGAACTAATAGAGAATTATGCAGATACTATAAAATATCAAATTTGGGGCTACTTTTTGAGTAATAATGATAACTTTTTGAATACTTACCATATACCGTATACCATGATGAGTGATTCATAAAGATTATTGCGAATACAACAAATAATTACAAGACAAGCAGTGTCATCCTCTCTACATGGTTGAAAAACAACAATGTTCAGAGATGTTAAATAATTTGTCCAAGGCCACACAGCCAAGTAAATTGCACAGCTGAGATGTAAACCAGGCTTATGTGAGTGCAAATGTGAAACATATGTCCTTTTCACCATTACACATACCTCTCAATTAGAGCCTACAAATTGTTCAGAGGCTGTGTAGTATAGTGGTTAAGAACGTCAATTCTGGAACCAGACTGTTGTGGTTCAAATACTAGATCTGCTTATTCCTGGCTCTAGGGACTTATACATAGCAATCTTTATTCCTCTGAAGTCTCCACTTGCCCTTGGGAAGGTTATTTAAACTCTCTGTACCTCGATTCCCTCATAAATAGAGTGGAGATGACAATAATACCTATAATACTGGGCCTTTCTGAAGATTGAATAGCTTAATATATCTAAAGTGCTTGCTTAAAACAATGTCTGGCACATAGGAAGCCCTGACTTAGGATAAATATTATTATTATTATTATTATTATTATTCTAGAAAAGTAATGCTACGTGCCAAGTATATATTTCATATTATAAAGAATTATATTCTAGTGACTTATGCTGTAAGTGATTTGAACATTTGCCATTTTGAGCTTAATCCTTAAGAGGTTGAATCAAACCTGTACGATACTTATAAACATAATTGATTAGCATAGGCTAGCCATACTCTTTTCAGTATGGAACTCTGTAGAGAAAGCTGGATTAGGATCTCTGATAGGCAGCATAAAAAGATTGCTATCATTTCCATTTCTTACTCTAGTATCAACTACAGAGATGTAGAACATGTAAGCTTATCTCTTCATGAAACAGACCTCATTGTCTTCATTAGTAGATGCTGTACAAGTCTGAAAGGTCAGCAAACAAGGGGGATTTGCCAAATTAATATGTAGGTTTTTGTGGGGTTTTGTTTTGGTTTTGGCTTTTGCGATTGGTGAAGCTAAACTGTACTCCACAAATATTCTTGTGATTTGGAAGCCATGTACTAATGCTGTACTCTATCAGGGTCAGCTTTATTCTTTACTTGGGCTGGGAAGAGGGGTTCTTAGCTTGTCTCTGCTCATATCAGCTGCATGTATACACTTTTACAAACATCTACAACTTTTGTTTTGATGTGCACATTCATTATTTGTGAAGCCCAATACTTGCCAGCTATTCCTGTTTGTGAAATCTGCAGTGTTTGAATTTTGACTTTGCAATTGATCTGTAAAGGAAGGAAAAATGCTTTTTAGGAAAGTAATTTCCGATAGACAAAGCTTGAGCCTGCTGGCTGGATTTTCCATTTTGTAATTGATTGGTCCGTCAATTGGTGAGGGCTTATTTGAAACCAGTGATGTGCCCAGCACTGTACTAAATTAATACAGTACATGAGGCATTAATTCTATACACAGTGAGCTTTCAGAGAGTGCTGTGGTTAGAGAAACCAGACACATACACAAACATATTAGCAAATAAGAGTTTGTTACACACACACACACACACACACACACACAGAGGGAATGCATTGCATAGTGCTGCACACAATGTATAGTGAAGTACTAATTTTGATTTTATGGAGCAGAGCAAGTAAAGGTCAGAAGAGAAGAGATTACTATTCCTTAGGGCCAGCCATAGGTCATTTTTGAGGAAG